ATGATCTCGTTAAGTTGTATTAAAGTTATATTAAAATTGATATCTAATTATAATACTGTCGTACCTGTGCAGCAAGAAATGTTTTACTTAAAAAAAGTCGTGGGTTACAGATTCTTATGAATTAACTTTGCCAGGAACAAGGATAATGTTTTCACGATAGACTGGTTGCCCTTTTAGAGGGAAAAGAGAATAATTTGCCCTTTTAGAGAAAAGTGGAGTTTGCGAAGGAAACAATTTATGATTAAGACGCTGGTCATTGAGCTTGTTTTCCTGATTTTAGCTTACTTGTAGCCGTGTTTATGGCTCCGATTGTCAATTTATCTCAAGGAAAGCGATAAATCAGAGTGATATTTCATCAACAATGTTCCAATACTTGTATTTCGGTACTAGTCACCCTGCCGAATAATGACAAAAACAAATTCCCCCTGATGCAAGTGCGTTATTTTACGCTCCGTTATCGAGATCAATATATTGGGACTGATTAATCTGTTTACGAAGTTACTCGGTACAGTGATAGAGACGGTGTCTTGTATTTTGGATACAAGGAGGGTAACTCTATAAGCACCGACATACACAAAATTTAAATTAATGTTGCTTAGATACCTAATGTTTGAATTTGTTTGTTACTTTATGTGAAGTTTTTTTTCCATTGCAGAATTGGACTGCTATAGAAAAAAAAGTTGAATTCTGATGTTTCATTATTAATTCAGTTGAATAACTCTTGTATCTTTTTTTTTTGTAAATGTTTATCTTTTACAGACTTTTCTTTGTGTTTCAAATGTAGAACTCGTTCTGCTGTGAACAAGCTGATTAAATTCTCTTGAATTTAATTTCAGAGTTAGAGATTCTATAGTTCTATACTAAAACAGCATCCTTACTTTCTTGTCAGTAAAATTGGGATGCCTTGTAAATTAAATGATGTTCTTTATATCATGAAGAAAATAGTTCCAGTGGTGGAATGATACAACTTTTATTGCCGTTTTTTGCAGTATTAGCTGCATTTATCATTTTAGATGTGGCAATCTTTCAAATGCACCTAGTTCTTCTTCATTCCGTTTTATGTTAGATATGGAAAAAGAGGAGTGTACATATAAAAAATGATTTGTCATTGAAATTTAAAGACGCGTGTAAATCCGACGTCAGTGGGCAGAATCAAAGTCAAATGTAATATATTTGCGGCTCGATCAGTTTATATCACCAGAGTTTGCTTATACAGGCATTCATGTGAATTGATACTTAATTGATTATTGAATAGATCCTGATAAGTTTTATTGAAATGAATTCAACGCATTCCGTGTTATAAGTTGAATCAATATTCATAACATCTTGTTTTCATTAGACCCCCTACAATACGCGAGAAAGGAGCTTTGATGGTGGGTCTTAATGGAGTCAACGTTGCGAAATGACTCGTCTTTTATAATATAACGAACACCCTTTTAAGAACATGAAATATCGTTTATATTAAAGGTTTCTCGAATAGAAATAAAAGTAACGTTGCCTTATAGCTCAATAAGTAAGTTTTCGTTTTAGGCCGTATGTAGAGATGGAAATGTGTTTCTGTTTGTTTGTTTGTAATATATATATATAAACATCTATGTTGCGAAAAAGATTGTGTAAAAGAACAGTTATTATTATTAAGTGTTTTATAGTAACAATATGTTGTGAAATAGTCGCTAAGTGTCAAGTACATTCATTCTGTATATGTCAGTCAAGTGCGTAATAGTGTAAGAATTTCTCAAAACAATGCTCTAGAAATAGTACCGTTTCAGCATTATACCTGAACTTGGCAAAAATAATGTGACATACTTTACTTAGCCTCTGGCATAACACTGTACATTCTTTCTGATAAAAATACTACTTTTTAGAAGAAAAAAAACTTAATAAAAAAAAAAAACACTCATTAATTCTGCAATAGGAAATTGCTATGTTGCATACCGGTATACTGGTAAGAAAAGTATTTGCAAGTTTGCTAAAGATACCGTAAGATTGCATGTTTGAACCCCACATACAAGCCAGGAGACAATTTAGAAGATTTCGATGCCTGTGATACTATATTATATGTGAGCATTGCATGTATATTGACCCATTAAAGTCTACAAGCGGCCCATGGTGAGATTTCCAATTCCGCTCATTATGGCAGAATAGCATGAACACCTAAACAAAACTAAGTCTATTGATGCATAATCTATTACCTCATACAGTTTTAGAGGACCTAGTAATTCACTGCTGTTTTATTGTGGGATTTCATGTTGTTATTATTGAAGCATCAATTAATTATAAACCCCATGCCATAATCCCTGCTCAAGCTCCTTGAAAAAAAAACAGAAATAAGTAGATTTTCCTCATCCAGAAAAAATTCATATGTAGATTTTGCTCCGTGAAAAAAACAGTGAGACTCCAGAAAAAGTCCATATGAAGATTTTTCTCCCTGAAAAAGAGAATCCAGAAAAAAATCCATATGAAGATTTTCTACAATATTAAAAATAGCAGTATGCCAAAAAAAAAAAATACCGTTTGTTTTTAGTTACGTCTTTAAATACTTTTAGATCAGTCTGATTGACAATATTTTTTGTAATGCTAATGTTGTGATATATAATTTCATGTTATCCAAAATATTATTTATCCCAAAGTATGCAGTTAAATAATTTATAAGTAATTCTGTTTTGATTGACCGTGTCAAGATTTTAAAGAACAATTTGGCCTGAGTTTGCTAAAATAAGACATGTAATTCATATGTGGGCCTGTTTGCTAAAATAAGACATGTAATTCATGTGTGGCCAAGTTTGTTAAATCAAAGCACTGAAAGCACTGGAGGGTCGCTTGCGCTGACAAATTTATATGACATTATATTGCTGGTGATCACTTGAAAGGCCAAATTTCCTGTCCTTTTGCAACTTTTTTTAAAGGGTCAAGTCATATTCAAGTGGAAATGACTGAGTACAAAGGAAAGTGCAATATTTTGCCATATGATTTTATTCAGGGAGATTTATCATTGACATCCAACAATTACAACACGGTTTATCAAAAGTACTAAAACCAGTACTTTTTCTCAAGTGGTTCAGTTGAGATCGAAAAACCAAATTGCTTTATATCCTCAAAATAATACTTTAAATTGGATAAATTTTAAGAGTACACTACTGACAGAAGCAGAAGCTGGAAGTAGATAACCAAGTCCTCTATTAACAATGACTTAGCATTGATAATATCATCTACTTATAAGGCATATGAAAAACATGCTCATTCTTGGGGATTATAGTTATTATCAATCTGATATTCAAGTTATCATCAACCCATGTGCATATAGACTGGATAGTGTTCAAACAACTCGAAAAGAAAATGGTTGAAAAATCTTTCTGTTTCTATGCATACTAGTAATAAGTGTTCCATCAGGGATAAACTTTCAGTGATTGTGAATACATGACTTATCAAAGTCACAATTTCATCCAGAGAGATTCATGAAATTCTCACAAAACAATAAGTAAAGTATGATTAGTTAAAACTAGAACTATCACTAAATGTGATTAATACCCCCACAAGACTGCTTTGGACATTAGGATGTAACAGAATACCTTGTAAAAGAATTGAAATAGAGTTATGTTTGTGGGCAATTAAAGAAGTAAGTTGTGGTTCTTGTATGTTGCATTTCCTTTCAATGTGGTTGACCATTGATGAAGTTTTATTGAATTACTCTATAATAAGTCCAGAAAGACAAGGAAAAAGATCAATAACTCTATAAATACTGCAGATTGAGTAATGGTTATTGTACACTGCACTTTCTCTCATTTCGCTTGACCATTGTATGAATTTGTATTGAATTCCAACTACATGTACTAGTTTTCAAGTTATGCACTGGACAAAAGTAATTAAGGGCACTAACTGTAGGGTCATTCCTGCAAAGTTTTATTACTGTGCAGTCTTTGGTTTCGGAGGAGATTTGTTTAAAGAAATTTTTGACGACCCACAACAACTGATGGTGGGGGATCACAATAGTTCACCATGAGCACGTTGTGCTCAGGTGAGCTAAAAAGTAATGATCAAAGTATAAGTTTGTGGATGACCTCGGCAATTGCCATGACTGTAAACAATACCTCTATTTTTTTTAAAAAGAAAAAAGTCGAGCTAAAAAGGGCATAACAGCATCAAAAATAATTTATTGAAAACTAAATCTGCCTTTTGATACTAACATGGCAAATATCAACTCACTTCATTTCCTTCAAAAGTTGTCCTTCAGAAATCAATTGAACACCATAACTTATAACATTCTTTTCAACAGTAAAAAAATGACATTACTTTTAGATTATTTCACAATAAAGTATAATTTCAAAAGTAGCCAGACCCTTATTTGAATGAGATTGAAAAGCCTATAAACAAACAGAAATTTTGTGGGAAATACATTTATTTCTCAGAAAAATGTGATAAAATAAAAAAGTAGATAATTAATATTTGCAAATCATGAAGGAAATTAAACAAATTCAGGAAATATGACAGAATCACTTTCAAATCTGAACATTGAAAATTAATGATTCTACACAGAAAAAAAAATCTGCTCTCTTTGGCTTGTATGATGGGCTATAGACCTCGGACATAATAAGGTGTCATATCTGAACTACTTTCAGTCACAGTAAAATAGCAGCCTCCAATTTACCAACATTGTGGCAAAGTTATACATTGTATATGTTTTTTCAATGCCATTCATGAAAATATTAAATCTGCTGTTCACTCTATGAAATATATTTGGATCTTGCATGCAAAAGAAACAAATACCCATTATATGATATGTTTCCAAATTTCTTCATATTTACAAAAATTATATATTTATGTAAATTAGTTCATTATAACAAGCAAAACTGTAATTTCATTGTTCTGACGAACAATCTGTAGTGTTTTTGTTAAACAGCCATACTCCAAGACCGACAAGTTTTCTGTGGCATTATATTATCCAAAATTAACAATATTGGGAAATAATGGAAAACAAAAATATTAACAAATACATGTATAAAATAAAACCAATGTATATTAATTTAATGTCCATTTATAGTTGAAACTGCGAAATTTAGCTATGTCAACGTCTGAAGGGATTCCAGTTCAATTAATCTTGTGTACTCCCATAACTGAAGCTACAAATATCTGAAAATAAAATATATTTGTCATGTTGCAAGTAATTGTTTATCTGGCACTGAATATATTCAACATCATAAAGACAATGTGTTCCATACATAACAATTTACCAGTAAAATCGAAGACATATTTCTTATATATCCCCAGTAAAAAATTCAGTGGAATACCACTAGAATACCACTGGAATACCGCTGGTATTCCAGTGGATTTTCAGTGGAATACCAGCGGTAAATTTTGGTGGTATTCCACTAAAAGTTTACCGCTGGTATTTCAGTGGAATTCCACTGGAATACCACTGAAATACCAGCGGTAAACTTTTAGTGGAATACCACCAAATTTTACCGCTGGTATTTCAGTGGAATTCCACTGGAATACCAGTGGAATTCAACCAAATTTTACCGATGGTATTTCAGTGGAATTCCACTGAAATACCAGCGGTAAAATTTGGTGGTATTCCACTAAAAGTTTACCGCTGGTTTTCCAGTGGAATTCTACTGAAATACCAGCGGTAAACTTTTGTGGTATTCCATTAAAAGTTTACCACTGGTTTTCTAGTGGAATTCCTCTGAAATACCAGCGGTAAATTTTGGTAGAATACTACCAAATACAGAGCCGGACGGACGGACAGTGCGATTTTAATTAATATGCCCACCTTCGGGGGCATAAAAATCACTGGATATAGTAGTTGAATAAGTTGAAAATACAAAATCATTCCAAAGAGCAGATATAATAGCAAATATTTTATATACATTTGTTGGCTTTATATATATATAATAGTAAGTATTGAGTCTCAACACATTTTTTTAGATCTAAACTAAACAGTTATTTTGGTTATTCACTTCTGCTTTGTTTTATAATATTTCCTTGTTAAAGATGCACTCTTACTCCCAAATAAGATTTCCTAAAGTTAATAATATTGTTTTAATAAAACACAAAAAGTGCAAGAACAGTTCAAGTACTACAGTTCATGAACAGTTCCTAAACTACATTTACATTATTTCACATTCATGAAAAATGCAAGACCAGAGCAGACAGATGATACCAATCAATTTGTGGACTGACAAGTCTAAACAATATGTACTCAACATAAGCTCTAAGCTATATTGTTAAAAAGTAAACCACAAACATGTAAAACTACATGTAAAATTTAAAAACTACACATCTTTGTTAAACAAGAATTAAGAAATAGTTTCTTCAATACAGCTTGCTGATTTTCAAAAGTGCAAAAACCAAGAACTTGAAATTAGTTTGTTTAGTTTCCAATGTTTCACTTATTTTGTGATTTATTTCCTTCTGATGACCTTTTGTAAGTTCTCTAGTTTTTTATTAAATACTTCTTTTGATACACCGGTTTTCTTCCTCACTAGTCTTTAAAAATTGCTGAGTTTCATGGGTTCAAGTGGTGGTCTCGGGTAATCCTTGCACTTATTGGGTCATCTTTCCAGTCCTAGAGTGGTTTCTAAGTTCCTCCACAGTGAAGATAGTCTTTGCTAATGTAACCAAGACTTCTTGAGTATCACTTACATGTTCCACAGCTTATAATTCGGGGTCCTCCACTTTTGTATTCTGACACTCTAAAGCAGTAATCCGCTCCTCCATGCGCCAAATCTTTCTATGCAGGCTTCTGCACTCATCCTCCCATCTAGTTTGGAAACACCAAAAAAAAAAACAACAATATAATGTCTAGTGTTTGAAATGACAGTTTTAAACATCACACAAATGTTACGAAAAAATGCGTTTCCATAGTACCCTTCAAACCTATTTTTATACCCCAGTGTCAGGGTAATCAGTTTTTCATTAATATTTAAGAAGAAAAGGCTAATTATGCGAATTTTAATCCTCGTGAAATTAGACTGAATTAAGATTTCGGGAATTTTTGCCATGACAAAATATCTGGTTCTACTGTAGACAATTGTAAAATTGGGTCCTTGTAACCTCAACTATATTGCTTACCCGTCAGATCTAGCCTCAACTACACATTACAACCCCTAGCAGTTCCTGCCTTTTCGATGAACTTTCATATTGGACACTGTCAGCAGGACCTATAATATTAATCACAATCAAGAAACTTCTAACATCATAAACAATTGACCAATATCTTTAAAATATCCTGATCGACAAACCGTAACGGTATCATTATAATTTTTTCAATTTGCATGTTCTAAGTAATGTTTTAATACTCAAAATATCTTGTTCAAGCATGTTCAACCACTTCACATCCTGCCCCTTACTAATACAGTAACAGATTACCATGACCAGTGTAAATTTTAGAGAATTTAGTAAAATATATAGTAGAATAAATTGTAAACTGGAATACGGGCCAGTAAATTCAAAAATTCAAAAAATCTTAAATTCAATGCCTGAGAATTCAATTGTATTCAGGTCAGTGCTACAAGTATGACACTGTTTATGCTATTTATGTTCTTTGCAAATCATCATTTGGGATTTAGTTTAATGGACCAGTATTCAGATTCTCTAGTATAAGCTTAGGCAGTGTCAAAGACAAGCTATTTTAGCTAGGCCGTATCCTGGACCACTGACCTATAAATTTTGGTGGCCCACACAACTTTTTAGTGGTCCAATAATTCCTATAAATGCACAGAAATCTTAGAGATTAAATCCAACACACACCCCAAAAAAAACAAAAAAACAAACAAATAGAAAACATGATTTCTGTGCCAATTAAATTTTTGGATTTAAAAATACAGTCATGTGCTATTTTCCTTGTTGATCATATTCCATTATAAAACTACATAAATTAATGGGTGATATAAAAATATTGTCTCTTTATGAAAAACTTTTTTTCTAATATAAGGGAAAATTGCTTAGGTAGTGAACTGTCTGCATACTAGGGTATTGAACTATCTGGGGATAAAAAAAACTTGCTACCATGCATTTTTCAAAAAACTATTTTAAACTAGATATGATCTTTTAGAAGGCATTAGCAAATAATTGCCTGCAGGGAAGCAGAACTGTCTTCAATCTTCAACGATGCTTTGTTTTTTATTCATTTTATATCGATCCTTTTCAACAACAAAGAAATAAATAAAAACGGGTCGCGAAAATATGTGACAAATGTCCGTTTACGCAATATTTCCAGTAAGGTTTAATTATCTAAACTGTAACTAGGAATGAGCTGGAAATACAATTATTATTTGTATTGTTACAGTCGGCAAGTTGTTACAAAATAATGCTTTAAGAAGTGAAGAAAGGTCATTGAATTAATTATAGACTCTTCATTTTTTTCTTGGAGGAGTCATAAACACGCCGGTTCAGTTTGGAAAAAAAATCAACTGGTGCATTTATGATAATACTCACTGTGAATATCACCGATTGCAGCTTTGAAGGTCTTTTTCTGATAATTTGCTTGAGCAATTTCACCTTCCTCGTTGTATATCTTTATTGGGGAGATGATATCATCAATTCACTGTTGGTATGAGACGAAGTTTTTGCCGTCTTTGAATGTTGCGCGCTCAATAGACCTGTGTACTACGCAATAAACCTGTGTACTACGTCAGTGACATGTGTACTACGTCAGTAACATGTGCTCGATTTTCATAATTTCGTGTAATTCCGTTGTTTTTGCCGTCAATACAATGAGTTACATGCCATAATTTTTAGACTCATTTCCGGGACACTTTCATTTGAAGGTGGGCATTGATCAGCAAACGTATTTCTTTTTTTTTTTAATTTACATAGTGGCATACAACCTATAGGCCCTATAATAACCGGTAATTACAACTTGCAAATTTAATGACACCATAAACAAAGTCAGAATGTCAATAATTATTAACTGTTTTTCTATCTTTTTTAAGTGTTTAGGCATCGTTAATTCAATCAGTCACAGAAAAGAATAAAGCTTTGTTAAGTAATGACAATTACCCACGTCATTTACCTGAAACATTCGGTGAATCTTGTAGATTTTATCACCTCATATTTAGCGGTAATTTTCACGGTGTTTGACCACTAATAAATGTCTCCAGGCAGATTAAATTTATACTGTCCAGTTGGCCAGTGTATGACACCTTCACTCAGGAAGCCACAAGGGGTAATTAATCTTTTAATTAATCAAAATTATTGTCGATAATTGTTTGTTGGAAGGGGCACGTAGATATACCAATCAAAGGATTAGTGTCACCATTGCAATGCTGTTCGGGGATAATCGTTTGTTATTAGCGTTCTAGATAAGTTTACAAAAACTTGACAATAAAATTATATAAAAAAGTAAAATTTCTTGCTTCAGAGTAGATTATTTTAGATTTTTTTTTTTTACTGGGACATAAATCATCTCCGGGACAGACACCTTATTTCAGGGATTGTCCATGGCATGTATGACAATGACTGAATAATTTTGATTATATCATTGAACTAAGTTCATGAAACTTTAAAGAATTTGGTTTCGTTCTTTTTATGCCAATGAACAGTTCATGAACAAGCTTGAAGAACTGTTCATGAACATATTAAAGTTCTTGAACAATCATTATGAAGTGTTTAGGACCAGTTAATGAACTGTTCTTAAATGTATTGAAAAGTACATGATTTCAAGAACACTATTTCACAGGGGCGATATACTGGTTTGAACCATGACTGTCTAATCATCCAGTAAATTTATACTATGATTGTATTTCTATCATATAATTGAAACATTATATTATTCAATTGTTTTTAACTGTGAATAAATAATAATTCAATTACTTAATTGTAATGACTATATTGATTATGATGTTTACCCTAGAATTCTATTTTTGACCTCAGATTACCAACATGTATACACACAAATATGATCAGAGACAGTTTTGATGGAACCTTTTTTTCATGTTCGTAATTGTACATACCAATGGTAAAAATTAGTCCACTGGAAGTGTCCTTATTAAATTGTATATATATTATTGAAGTCACCAAGTTCACTGGAAATCCAGTGGTTTACACTGGGAAATCCAGTGGTTTACAACTGAAATAAATTTGACCAGTGGCATACCACTACTCAATATTAGATTACCAGTGAAAAAAAACCAGTGGAATACCAGTGGAATTATAATAACCACTGAAATTGCAGTGTTATTCCACTGGTATTATGTAGTATTCCAGTGGAATACCAGTGGATTTATGGTTACCACTGGAATACAGTGGTATTCCACTGGTATTCCACTGACATTTTTACTGGGGATATTATATATATATATCTTTATCATATCTTTGCATGAATTATCATAGTAAGCTTGCACCACTATGTAAAATGCTAGTTTCTGGTCACAAGAAAATCAAAAGCAATGGATGGTGTGATATACAGACTTAATTAACTTTTACAAATGGCTGCTGAAAAACAAACCAAGAATATTGTCAATTTCTTTTTCAAATTAAATGATAGGACAAATATATTGGTTTTCAATTAATGCTTGAATGTACAAAGAATAGAACATCCACTTCTTAACTGCAAGCCAGAACCATAGTGTATTCTGGTGTCAGGTAAATAATTATTATCGCTTATTTTTGTATCTCATGCTTTCTTTAGATGGATAACAGTAAAAATTTAAAGTGTACTATACCTAAATTGGTATTCTGTATGCTGAAGTTTCCTTTTGAATACAGAAAAACTCCTTCACATAGTAAGCTTCACTTCAATTAAGTTGTTCCAGAAATAATACATTGTTCTACTTGGTACTTCAGACAGCTTCATTTGAACAGAGTGGGCGGCAACTTCTTACTGCAAAGTGGAGCAAGGTTTAGTAAAACAATTAAACAGCATAATTTGTTCAAATACAAGAAACTAGAAGCAGGGCATAATCTGTTATTGTTTTTCAGAAAAATAATTGAAAATTTAACTTTTGAATGGATCATTTCACTATGAGCATACATTTCAATTTTTAATTTTCTAGTGTAACATGTTTACAGTAATATATATTTTTTTTGTATGATTACTAGTCCTACAATGAATTAATGTAATTCTGGAAAGGGAAATTTTAATTTTAAATACTTTGTCATGATTTTGAATTAGTAAAGGTCTGCAATGATATCAGTCAAACATTAGAAAGTAAAAACCCTGATATTACAACAACATCGGTGCAAGTTTTGAAAACTTTGGAAAAACCTTAAACTATAATTCATTTATTAATCATTTTTCCACATAATCTAATAGTAAAACATGATGATATTTGTCACAAAATCCTAGGCTTCAGGCATATGCACCATGCAACAAGTGATTACAGTAAACATGTTTAAAAAGTTTGATGACTGTAATTAATTTACTAAGGGATCAGTAATTACCACAAGATGACAAACTTTTAGAACCTTATTGATAAGGAAAGACCTTTTTTTAATGTACATGCAATCAACAACAGACCTAAATTTATTATTTGAAAAAATGACAAACCTGTATGAATTTTTTTCTTTCTTGCAGCAGAAACCTCTTCCTTACAGATAATGCAAAAGAATCTATAAATAGGATCATGATGATCATCATTCACGATGAAGACTTTCATGGCTGAAACGTCATCACTTTTTGCTATAACAAACTACCAGTTTGAGCTATCTTGTCCTGTATACATGTATATAACTTGTCTGAACCTACTGTACCTTCACTGTTTATCAAAAAAGTAACATGACAGAAGTCACCCGTAAAAAAAAGCAAACAAAAATTTAATGTCTTATAATATATTAAAGATCATGCACAAGTAATCAGTATTAAACAAGCAAGTTATATCATTTTACCACAATTTTTTCTGCACATATGATATCTGCATTAAATATATATTAAATAATAACTTTTTAAAGGTCCATTAAGCCTTAGAAAAGATAACATTTTTATTTTTCAAACTTTCCTTTTACATATCTTGTTGCAGTTTCAAATAGTTACATGTACTCATTGACCATGTACATGTAGATAAGTTATCTGGCAATTGGTATAATTACATTAATTCATATTTTGTATGTAAGTCAAAATAATACTTTGCTCACATTTTGCTACCTTTACAACACATGACTGTTTGTTCAGTGTTACTCTTTTCAGTGGTTAAACATTTAAAAATGCTCTAAATACATCATTAAAAACATAATTGAACACATATTTGACCTTTCTAAAGAAATTAACAAAATTAATTTATCTCTGACAGTCACACATTATATTGTGCTTTTAAGATTTTCAAATATTTTTTTACCAGAGATTCTTTTACCTATACACTTACTCTATAGATTAATTCACTAAGAACAGAAGATTAATGTAAAATGTACTACATATTTAGTTACACACAACTTGACAGCAAATTATACATTTTCAATATTTATAATAAAATACAAAAAAGAAAAACTGTTTCTCTCTGTAACCAAAGAGAAATCATAAATATTGTAAACTTCAGACTCATACTCTTATTACTACCTTTAGCTAAGGTTGTTATAATATATGTACTTTTCCAGTCAAAATGAGGTAAATATTTTTCAAGGAATTCTTCTTATAAATTAATATGCGAACACAAAACAAATAGATATTAACAATATGACAATAAGTTAAAATTCAGTATTTGACCATGATGGTCAGTCATCTAAAAGGTCAATGTCATATATGAATTACTTAAAGGGACTCCACTGAGGCTTTTGACATGACCCAGAATGGAAATAATATTTCAAGATTGATAATTTGATATTCTATTTGATGTAGATCTTGGCAAAAACCTATATGCAAAAATTTTCAGATCATGCACTCGCTCTGTTTTCCCAGAATGATTACTTGAAATGAATAGTGTAAAATGTCCCAAAAATGAACAGTGCTTTTGATTCATACATGTATTGGGAAGAATAGAATTAGAATAGCACAAATATACAATTTTCAATGTATTTCTGAATATATTTCTTAATAGTATGACTATGTGCATATCATTCTGGACACAAGGAAAAAACAACAGCATTTATTGCAAAAAAAAGCTGGTATACTGCTTTTGTACAGGAAATACTTCCATGACAGTAGTGTTGTCTTAAATTTGACTACTAAAGTCAAATATGTGTTTCAAATTTTCCAGAGCTCAATAAAATAAATGTGGGTTTTTCTTATAAACAAACATTTAAAGAGAACTTACACTGAACAATACTATCATAGTATGTCTTGACCATGTCCACATTTAAAAACCTCACACAACAGTTTATTATATCACACACCTGAAATAAATGCATTTCTTATTTAACATTCATATGATTTTCATATCAACAATAAAGCATTCCCCAACTTATAGTTATCTAAATCATTTGGCTTAATAGTCAAATTCAGCTACATCATGTACATGTATAATACCAAACTCAAAACAGGTCAATGCATCAAACTTATTGGGACAATCAGAAGCAAGTAAAATGTTGACCTTAACCATTCAGACAATATCATTCATGTTTATAATATACAATGATTATTTGTGAAATTAATCAGTCAAATCCCATGACGTTATCAATTTAATTATATATTTTTCTTATATCAACAATTTTTTCATATTATTAGAAAATCCCCTAATCATGCATGTAAATAAAGTGTTATATTGATTACACAGTTCTAAGTACTATCGTCCGTTTTTGTATGCACTTTAGCATAGAGCAGAAATGGGGAAACCACGCACTTGTTGTGGGAGAACACTTCTGGATCAGGAATTACCTTCTAAAAAAAATCTAGTTGTAGAATCTTTCTTTAAATACAGGTAAATATGACTGAGTGACAGGGCTTGAGCAAAATAAAAAAATCCAGTTGTTTGCACCTGTGTGTTTTCCTATGTGGTCTTTTATTCGCTCATTTTTAAAGCTTTAATACTAGGTAATTAGGGTACATAAAGAGAAACAGAAATTCTACAAAAAAAAGTCCAAAAATAGCCCAATTATTTGAAAAATGCTGCAGACTCCAGTTTGATTGAGCCAGTTTATGGATAGTTTTTAAACTGGAAAGTGCATGCTACTGTTCACACCAATAGCACCCAGGTTAAGCAGTATTCAACATTTAAACATGTAATGGTAATTTTTTTAAATTTATAACATTAGCAGGTGTATTTTTATGGCAGTGATCATGGAACTCCAATGTGACATGTTAGTGCCAGTCCATGAAAAGTGGCGTATGATTCCCAAAGAATACCAATGTGTGTTCCCTTAATTGAAAAAAAAAAGAAGGGGGAACTGAACAAAAAAAGGATACTGTTCATCAAGATTCTGTGTATTTTTTTGCGATTTTCAAAAACTTTGGTTTAGATTGTTTCAATAATTATTTCTCTAGACTATGAAAACTGAATTTGACAAAATATTTGAACTCAGTTAGATGTCAGTGTGAGAACTGAAGCCTAAGAATAATCAGACACCTCCTCTTAGGACAGACTTACTACATTGTAAGGGCCCCTTTCTGTTTGATTGTTGTTAAACAAAGTTAGTTTTTTGACTTTTCCATACAAAAATACTAAATCACTTTAACTATACTGATTGCTAAAAAAACAAACGCTGAGGCAAAAAAGTTGGTTCAGATAATTGCCCATTGAGTAACTTTTTGGAGTTATAACAGGCCCAATAACAGGCTTTTGAGAAATTTTAAATTAAAATCATTTCTGGGGGGCATAATGGGCCTTAAAGCCAGTATGTCTAGGGGGGGGCCTAAAGGACAGTAACTTTTATTTTCCAGTACTGTTTAGCCTCAAACAAACCGAAACCTGAACATTTTTCAATTGTTCATTTTTGGGTGGTTCTTAAGGATTCTATTTTTCCTCTATTGATATGCATTTGTAAACATAAAAACAATAATTTTTGATTCACAATCTGCTTATATAATGTCATGCCCGACAAATTACCATTTGGCCAATAGAGCAATAGAAAATACAATGTTTCATGACAAATCCTGTGTGTTAGAAACGAATATCTATGAGTAAATAAAATCAATATATTATCATACTTATATCTATTACATCAATCTATTATCTAGTTTATTTATTAAAACTCTAAAGTTAATTAAATAACTCATAATATATTATTTGATACAATGAGAATCTAGAAATTTAATTAAATTTTATTAATTATACTGTTAGTTCTTTGTTAAACCTTTATCTGCTTATCTATTAAATATAAAGGAAATATTACCAAACCAATTCCAAAAAAAACCCAAACCTAAATATTTTTCTGTCCCAAAGTATTTTTTTAAAAAAAAAATTTTTAATTTTAGGGGCGAATCGCACTAAAATTCGGACGGAATCGTCACTGTGGCGAATCGTTTACCCTTTACCGACAATTTATTTTGATAAACAAATTAATCTTCAAAAATTAATCTTACGGGTGGTTCAGTTTCATAAAGTTTTTTCTTTTTAAACGAGGTAAATCTGTCAAAATTGCTCAATGAAAACTCTACAATTTACATTCAATATCTGGATGTCTGTAATAATGAAGTCGAATCAAGCTGTTGAAGAGCATGGGTGACTCAGTGAACTGTCAGTGATCAATTCGCAGAATTGTGATATTTTTTCTGTACAGCAACAAATTCTATCTGTAATTTTCGTTAATAATACATTAAAAATGTTGATAAACCCTCCTGTATTGAATGAAGGTACGGATTTTCTAACTTGTTACCTACTATAGAAATATTGGGAAACTATTTTACCTAACGTTGCATTGTATAATTCAGCCGAAATTCAGGTTTCGCGTAAGCCTGAGATTGTGCCTTATTAAGTTGGCTTTTCGCTTTGCGCAAGCGCAGCGCCAAAAGGATCACTGTTACTTCATATGTATCAATGATATTAATTTTTTGGGAGGATTGAATATCTTGTTTGAATTATATTATTCTTGTTTAAACATAAAGTATATGACAGACTGTTGTTAATCATTGGTTAAAAAAACAACAGCACAATTAATTTTGCTTGCATGATTATAATTGGGCTGCCATTTATTTGTGATTTATATTAATATGCATGTATCAATGACAGCATTATGATATGAATAATAAAATTTGGGGAAAAAATGTTCAAGTTGAACATAACTAGGGAGTGACCGAAATTGGCTTAAACAATTAATGGGTTTTCTATTGACAATAAATCAGGCATCTTTAGCACTGAGGCCACACTCATGGATAAAATCTGTGCATATGAATTACAAATTTATGAATATTGATACAAGAATAGGTGCAATTGACTTAATTAAGTTGATAGATTGGACTTTGGGCTTGCTGATGAAGTTATGCACAAGATGTTTTTATTATTATAAGGTTCTGTAGCATACACATTGTGTTGTCAGTCAATATAACTTGGGGGTTTTGTCTTTGATTCGACTATGGGCTTTATAAGCTATTCAGTAGTTCTTATGGATTGCTGTACCTTCTGCCTTCAAAGTTTGGTACGTTATATCTAAATACTCAAAAGTGGTGAATGAAATGCTCAATTATGAATCATTGAAGTGTACTAGATATGCAAGAAAAAAAGAACCACACACGGGATCTGGTTATTCTATGCAACATAGGGAATAAGCAGCTTC